AATAAATTAATTATATATTCTTTCCATGAAGAGAAAGAAGTTTCAGGTCACATGTAAATGCAAAAACAGAGAATACACTGGATTTTTAAAGAGGATACACATCAGTCTAAAATGCTGAATAAACAATAAAGGAAAATCTCCTGGAGACTGAAAAGCAGGGCACTGTAAAATCTTGAGAAACTGTTAACCTTTACTCTGAAGGCTTTTTTCAGAAAGCTGCAAGGATGACTTCTACTTAGCGATCTTCTCCCAACTGGAATATTTATTACAAAGGCCGTGCTTGGGAAGAATTATAACCTACACTTCTCAGTCTGTCTCAGAGAAATGCCTGAGTCTGTAATAATAAAGGATTATCAATACCTTATTTGGGTACAGAGAATAAAAATTCATTCAGAAACAATTCACATGAAAGACTTATTTCTGTATCTGCATCCACATATGAAGCAAAAGTTTAGAGGTGAAAAGTATTAGAGAAAATAGAGACTGAACAAATCAGAGTATGAATTAGGTCTTATAATTGGAATACCTCCAAAGCTTGGAAAGAAACAATCATAAGGCCCGGCAGCGCGGAAAATGAAGATCAAGTTCTGTGGATATTAATCTGTAAAGACCTATAATCTTTTTTTTATGATTTTTAAAATGGATTTATTTTTTCTTGAAAAACAGAATTAAGCAAACTTGATGGTGATGGTGATGATGACAGCAAGAACGATGCCAACTGACATTCACTGGGTATTTTTGTTAGCTGCCATCAAATGACATTATGTACAAAAAGCCCAAACACTGCCCTATCCTGAAATTATTGCTATGTCTGAGCCACTGTTGCAACTACTTCACCTCTTAGTGCGGAGGATCTTCCTATTTTTCACGGAACCTCTATTTTAGCAGGCATGAGGTCCTTCCAAGGACTGCTTTTCTTCCCAAGATGCTGAATTATGTAAGATGAAGTCTCACTATCCTTGCTTTTAAGGAACATTCTGACTGTATTTCTTCCAAAACAGATTTCTTTATTCTTCTGGCAGACTGTAACAATGACCAACACTGTCATTCAAAAGAGACCTGTAACCTTAAGGACATTAGTGAGGTGCCGTTGGGTCGAGTACCACTCGCTGAGTCGAGGACCACAAGTAATACGAACAACCGATCTGAACCCTGCCCTATCCTGTGCCATCCTCATAATCTCTGATACACTTAATCCGAATGCTGCGGTCAATCCTCCTGGTTGAAGCTCTTCCTCTCTTTTGCCATCCCTCCAGAACCAATACACCAGGTGACATGCTAGGGTTCAAAGGGTTCTTAGGATTCACAGGGTCAGCGAAATAGATGAAGACCCTCAATGAGATGGAATGACATGGTGACCGTCAGAAATGATGAGGATGGCACAAGATAGAACAGGGTTCAGATCTGCTGTTCATATGAGCACTATGCATCATACTCAACAGTACCGAACAACACAAAAGACGATGAAAACCTCAGGTTTCACAATCCTGAGAACAGAACTAAATGGTACCAGGCTACCATGATTGACCACTCCAAAACGACTGCAGTATCATGCTTGGACAAAGTAGAGGAAAACACAAAAACAACAAATGCCCATACTTACTGACCTGATAGACTCTGATGAAACCTCGAGACTTAGTCACCTTTTGAAACTGGAAGAAAATTCACCATCATGGTTCAAGTTTCAGCCAAACAACAAACAGACCTATCGTGTTAACAATAAAACCAGGGAGCCCCTGATGCTCTAGAATAAACTACATAAAGTCAAAAGGGCAAGGACAAAGCATGAAAGGCATGAAGGGGTAAGACAGATGGAGTCATGGAAGTGAGAATCACCTGAAGGATGTGGGAATGGTATGGCCACCTTCTGGGTATTATGATTAATGTTCTAAAACAAAATGTATATGAACAGCTGAAGGGAAAACCAATTTACTTTGTGAACCATCACTCAAATTGCAACAAGAACAACAAATTCTTACTGGGAAATATTTTTCTATGTAGGTATAGGATTTTACTTTTTTTCATATTTAAAGAAATTATTTTATACTGGTTTACTTACAAAATTTGTATACATTATCTTTCACACCAGATTTTAACAAAGAAGTAAGAGAGAAAAAAGGAAAAATTCATGCATAACCAGAAGAGGACAACATTGATGAATGGGACCTTCTAAAGATTAAGTCCCTGTGGGCATCAAAACCTTTTTCCAGTAAGGTGAAAAGAAAACTTACTAACTGGGAAGAAAACATTTGGCAATGACACCTCAGACAAAGATCTCAGAATAAAAGTTCACAGAATTCCACAGGGTGTCCACAAGAAAAAGGCTGCATTACAGAACGGGCACAAGATATGGAAAGACTGCTCAGAGAGGAAGAACTTCAGATGACCAACAGACACATGAAGAAATGCTCAAAATCACTGGAAATCAGAGAGATGCAAATCAAAATAACAATGAGAAATTATCTCACCCCAGTGACAGTGGCAAAGTTAAACAGGACAGTAAGTAATAAATGTTGGAGGGGATGTGGAGAGAGTGGAACTCTGATACACTTGTTGGTGGGATTGTAAAATGGTACTACCATTCTGGAAGGCAGTTTGACATTTACTTAAAATGCTGAATAGAGATTCCATATGACTCAGCACTTCCAATGCTAGAAATAAACCCCAAGGAAAACAGACCTGAGACAAATGGATATAGAGACACCAATGTTCATAACAGAATTATTTACAATAGCAAGAACATGGAAACAGCCTAAATATCCATCAACAAGTGACTGGATTGAGAAAATGTGGTACAGTCACAAGGTGGAATACTATCTGGCACTCAAGAAGAATGACTTTAAAAAGCACTATATAACACAGGAGAGGATAGAACACATTATGCTGAGTGAACTAACTCAGGCTTTTAAGGACAAATACTTCAGAAGACCATTACTGTAAAATCATAAAGATAATAAGATGTGTACGGATATCCAAGGAGGGAATGGGGGATAAGGGACCTGAGTTTGGTGGGTAGAGGAGGGAGTGAAGGAATTGGGAAAGATCCAGTAGGGATCTGAAAACATGATGTGACAGATTGTAGTGGTTACTTTTATAAGACACAATGTATGGGAAGGAATGATTGTAAGAAATATAATGGGAATGGAGGTGGTGGTGGGGGGAATACAACAAAACACAACAGCCCAATGACAACAACAAAATTTTTTAAAAGTGGTAGAACCAGAATTTGATTCTAGATTGTACTCATCAGGTAGCCAGGTCTGTGCTTCCATCCACTTCTAGACGAAACAGCGTAAGCCAGGCAGGACATTTATTGGATGCTGACGAGGTGCTGAGTCCAGGCACTCTCACGTGCATGAACTCTGGGATTCTCTCCCTTTTACTGTCTCCTGACAGTGTCTGTATCAACCGATTAGCATCTGGTCCCATTTCAGCTCAACAACCAGTTCCTCAGGGAAACCTTGGATTCCTCCAAGTAGACTGGACCCTGTGATCGGACGACATGGCTGCCCTGGCTGTCTTTCTATTGTCTTTCTATGGCTTAGCAGTGTTTGCTCACCTGATTATTTAGTAAATGCTTCTTTTCCTGACCAAACTCTCAATCAGTGCTGTCCAACAGAACTTTGAGACAATATGAATATATCTTCTATCTATCCTATCAATTTAGTAGCCACTTGCCATAGTAGTATATGACTGAGAAAGAAAGATGTTGTTATGTTCCATCGAGTCACCTGTGACCCATAGCAACCCTATCTATGTACGGCAGCTCTGAAGCCTGCCCTGTCGTAAGCCAGTCCCTTATATAAAAAAAATAGAATGAAAAATTCACCTGAACTATAGTATAATTGAAACCAGGATTCAATTTAGTTTGTAGCATTGTGCTTCTATCCTAAAGGCATACAGACATATAACCAATTTTATTTCTTCCATATCCCAACCACTACCTATTCTTAGGCATCCCTCTATATTATTTTGAGGCCAATCTATCTATAAATATTTCAGTGAATATCTCTAAGACTTATTATTTAAAAATATAAATGGCATTATTGCACAGAAATAACAATAGGATTTTCATGTGCCTAATATTTTTGCCACGCATTTTATTTCATCACTGGCTTCATAAATTGTTCATAAATTTATTGCCATCAAGTCAGAACCAACTCATAGCTGACTCTACATTCAGTTTCTGAAGCTGTGTATTTCTCCCTCAGAGTCACTGGAAGATAGAAACTGCCAGAAGCAGGGCTTTGGCATGTGAGGAACCCCTGATACATTGGGCATCTGTTAGGTTTCTCTCTGCGCTCAGGTATTGTTTGACTCCTTTATAATTAGGGCGTACTCTTCATGCTTTTTCTTGCACTCAGATACTTAAAAAGAAATAAAGCACTGACACTTTGTTAGGCGAGGCTAGAGATGTTCAGAAACTTACTCAAGTTTACTCAGAGGGTAAATGACAGTCAACACTTCAACTCAATTCGTTTGGGTCTCAGAACAAGGTTAAGTTTCCCTACATTATACTACCTCATAACATTTTTTTTTATTAAGGATATCATCAGAGCCTTAACTTCATTGTCTCTTCTAAATGGAACACATATGATTTCAAAGAATGAAAAATACAGAATACTCTTAAATGGACCAAATTCTTTTTTTAATATGTCTACTTCCACTCCAGTATTATTACTGACAGTCTTGTGGTTATCCATTTTTATTTACAGAAATCTTTCTAAGTATTAATGTTATACATGATGTATCCATTTAAATCCCAGGAGTTTGATTTTACTAGACAATACTATTCCTTCATTATATCTAACCTAGAAATTAAACAGACAGGAGGATCCTTTTCAACTACCACTAGATGTTCTTCAGTGGCTTGGGGGAAAGATACACTTTCCTGGATACCCCACTCAATCTGTGGCAACACTTTACTCATGAGCGACTGAGTCTTCAGGACAACAATTTGAACAATTTTCTTTATGTAAAATGAAAAGGAGTTCACTCACCCAATGCGTATTTTCAGCATGCCACTGAATAACTCGGGATTATTGGAGATAATCCACCCAATGTGGATGACCAGCTCCTGCTGAATGACCGCTTCCCTCTCATCGTGAGTGTTGCACTTATAATAGATAATGTTCTTAATCACTCTTGGAGACAAAGGGTTGGAGATAACCTCTTCTTCGTGGCCAAAGGCACCCAGAGTTACCTAGGAGTAGCATAATTGTATTGTAAAAATCTCCTAGCTACTGAAAAATGAAAGAAATGAAAGTCAAGGCTCAGGATGACTGGCAGATGGAAATTACACAGCAAGGGAATTAGGCAGAATAACTGTTCTTGCTATTTATTAAAATGACTTTCAAAGCGGGACTCCCACTGGAGTTCACAATGGTTCATGGTCTAGTCTAAGATTTAAGGGCAGGTGAGGGGCCCAGTTAGGGGAGCAGAGGTTAGTGCATAAAAGATGGGAAGGAATACAAATAACTGTTAAGATGAAATGATTCTCAATGACTTTAATACTAGAAACTCCCCCGAGAACCTAAAAGACATTGAATAGTTTTTACTTTACTGCCCACAATTATCACACATTTCTCTTATTTGAGAGATATTTTTCCTTTATTTTCTCATATGAAACTTTGAACATCATAACTTTTTCAAAGGCAGGTCCTAGGTCATGTTTCTGGTGCTGCTCCTGTTTCCCCTGGCATTACACTAGGTACCCCCAAACCCAACCCAATGCTGCTCACTCAATTTCAACTCACAGAGACCCTCTGAAGACAGAGTATAATTGTTCCAAGGATTTCTAAGACAGTCAACTGTGCACAAGCGGACTGCCATATTGTTTCCCCACTGAGCAACTGGTGAGTTTGAACTGCAGAGCTTGAGGTGAGCAGCAGAGCTCTTTAACCCCTGTACCACCCGTTTGTTGATGTATCTTTCCATTATTCAGGGTCTAAGTGATGTTGCCCACAGGTCTGGGGAGGGAGAGAGTAGAGGAAAATGACAAAGAAAGCTTAAAGCAAAGAGTGTGATGGAAGCTGACAGGAGGACTATCCTGGTCTTTCTCTTCTCTCTACACTTGGTATTTTGCCCACAGCCCCTCTTACCTCCTCCTGTCTCTCTCCATCTTTTTTTTCATGTTACAAGAGGCAAGAAAAAGACTACCTTAACTAGAGACTCTCGTCTTTTTAGGCATAAGGGAAGAGACAAGAAAATGGGGTCCTTTCTTCAAATTTTGTGATTTGAAGAGAGAAAATGGAGAACCACTGGTGTATTCTGTGACAGGGCACAAATCTGTCCAAATACAATGACTTTTATTAACAGGACAGTGTGTGAAGAATAAACAGAAGGCACAATGGAAGCACTGATGGCTAAACCACTGTCCTACGTCAGGGGTCATTTTAGGTGTCATTGAGTTGACTATGACTAAGTTGACTATGACCCATGAACAAAAACTCTGAACCTTGCTCTATCCTGTACCATCCTCATGATCTCAAATACATTGACGCCCATCAGTGTGGTCACTGTGATAATCCATCTTGTTCAAAGTCTTTTTCTCCTTCACTGACTCACCCCTTTTCCAAGCATGATGTCCTTCTAAGAGCTGGTCCCTTCTGACAACATGTCAAGGTGAGATGACGTTTCACCATCTTTGCCTCTAATGAATGGCCTGGCTGCACTTCTGAGATTTGTTTGTTCTTTTGGAAAGGCATCTATACTTTTTCTGTCATCCTTATTTATTGTCCAAATTTCAGCTGCATAACAAGTAACTGAAAATACTCTGGCTTGAATCAAGCACAACTTAAGTCTTCAAACTGGAAGACTTTGGAGAGGTCCTTGGCAGCAGATTTTCCCGATACAACACGTCTTTTGATTTCTTGACTGCTGTTAGCATGGATGTTGTGGATCCAAATAAAATGAAATCCTGTACAACCTCAATCTTTTTGCACTCTATCACAATGTTGCCAATTGGTTGGTCCAGTGGTGAGGGTTTTTCCTTCCTTGAAGTTGAGATACAATTTATATTGAAGGCTATAGTCTTCAATCTTCTGCAGCATCTATTTCAACTCTACTTTCAGCCATCAAGGTTGTGTTATCTGTATAATGCTATTTGATTAGTCTTCCTCTAATCCTGATGCCACATTATTCTTCATAGAGTCTAGCTTCTTGAATAATCTGCTCAGTTTACAGACTGAAAAGGTATGGAGAAAGCATACAACCTTTAAAAATACTTCTGATTTTGAAGTAAGCACTTTTCTCTTATTCTATTCAGACAATAACTTCTTGGTCCAGGTCTAGGTTTCAGAGGAGCACAATTCAGTGTTCTTGGATTCTCATTCTTCTCATGTTAAGCATAATTTGCTATGATTCACACAATCAACTGTTTTTGCATAGTCAATAAGACAAAGATAAACATTTTTCTGATATTTTCTGCTTTTAACCAAGACCTATCTGATATCAGGAATGTTATACTCATGACATAGCCTAACTGAATCTAGATTGAATTTCTGGACATTCTCTGTGGATATACTGTTCTACTTGTTTTTAAATAATCTTTAGCAAGATTTTGCTTGCATGTGATATTAATGACATCATTCAATTAATTCTGTTGGCTCACCTTTCTTGGGAATAAGTATAAATAGTGACCTCTTCCAATCAGTCAGCTAGCTGTCCTCCAAAGTAAGCATGTCCAGGGCATCTGTTTGCTGAAACATGTCAACTGGAATTTTGTCAATTTCTGGGGCCTTATTTTTCACCAATGCCTTCAGTACAGCTTAAATGTCTTCTTTCATTACCATTTCTTCTGGGACATACGTTACTTTCTGAAATGGTTCTGTGTCCACCAATCCTTTGGGTAGAGTGATTCTGTAGTCCTTTTATCTTCTTTTGATGTTTCCTTCACCATTCAAGATTTTGCCCAGCAAATCCTTCAGTATTGCAAAGCAGTACTTTCATTGCTAAAGTGGCACGTTAAACCCAAGTTAACCCAAATACTGAAAGCTGCATTTTCAGTCCTTTTTTTTTTAACAAAAAAGTAGACTCTTGACAGTAAATGGCAGTAGAATCTAGTCATAGAGCTGCACCTCTAGCCTCACAGTCTTTCCAAGCTCTTCTAGTGACTTTCCCTGGGAGACTGGGAGTATGTGCTCTGATAAGCAATAATCCAGTCACAGCCTCAGGTCTGTACCATGGGGAGTAAAATCATAGGATCACAGGCTCAAGGCCCCTCTAGATATTGTAAAGAATTGAAGAGACAAACACTAACCTAGCCCCTCAACAACTGTCAAGTGCCAGTGACATTAAAGACCTCTAAAAACGTGTGAATGCTCATATGTAATAGAATTTGCTATATGCTCATTTTAGGGGACTAAAATCCAAGGAATTTAGCTTTCATAAAATTTCTCATTTTTCTTCAAGGACTAATATGGTGGGGGGGAACCCTCAAACATACTATGAAGCTGGATAGAAGGACTCCAGTGAGAAAAGGCTCACTGTGAATAAGTTCTTTCCTGTGTCATGATCTAATTACCTACAAAAACTATTACCAAGAAGCTGGAGAAGGTTCAGCTAGAGTGCTCCTCGGAGGCAAAGATGATAAAGCTTCGTCTCATATACTCTGGGCATATTGCTAGGAGAGGTTATTCCTTGGAGAAGGACATCATGCTTAAAAAGGTGAAGGGATGGTGAAGAAAAGGAAGACCCTCAACCAGGTGTGCTGACACGGCGACTACAGCAATGGGCTTGAATATTTCAGAGATTGTGAGGATGGCACTGGACTGGACTGAGTTCAGGTCTTACAGGGGCATTACAAGTCATACTTGACTCAACGGTACCTAACAACAACATGATACAGGAGGACTTCCATGAGAAAAGACAGTGAATACGTTACTTCTTGTGTCTTGGTCTGGTTATCCAAAAAATTTAAATGAAAAGTCTACCTTGTCACAGTTTGGGGAAAAAAACACAAAGATACTAATGTAGAAAATTACTGGGCTTTTTATCAGAAGTTTTTTATTAGTCCCATTAGTTTTTCATGGTAATTAAATATTACAGAAGAAAAATAGCTTATTATTCTAACATTCCAAAAGCTGGATAATGAGATGAAATTTTTCCAATCTTAATGAATTAGGAGTCTGGAGATATGAGCAGTGAGCTGATCCCATTAAAGAGGGTTAAAATACTTTCTATTATTAAAGCTTATTATTAATATTTCCAGGCTAATTGTCAAAAAAACATAATAAGGTATAGGCACACATATTCACAAAGAAGAGAAGGAAAGCAAACAGGTTTCATTCTAATCATTCCAGACAGATCATTAGAGCTTATGGAAAACAAGATAAAATGAGCAGCCACATCCACATACCACATGCACAGGCTCAATTCAGGCCACATTCATCAAACGCCTACTCCATGCCAAGCCCAAACCCCGAACGCTGGGAAACAAGCTGCATAAGCCCCAGGTCCTGAGCTCCAAGGGCTCACAGCCTTCCATGGAATGAGCTACACTACGTGACCTGGGATCCAGGGCTCACTGTGGGAAGTGTCACACACCCAGCAAAGAGAGAGATCACTGCTAAGTCACCAAAGCTTAGTGAAGAGGAGGTGATGGAGCTGGCCCTGGAGGGCAGGGAGAAGAGCCACAAAGAAGCTGGAGAAAAATGGCTGAAAGAGTGAAGGTGGGGAGGCGGCTCTGAAGTGCAGACCCTGGCCCTGCCTGAAAACCAATGCATCTCTAAGGAGGAGAAAGGCATGCTAAGTGGAAGGGGAAATGTGCCCTTCACTGTCCACCTGCCTTTGTTCCGACTATGCTAAGCCTGGATGGATACTTCGCCGGGTACTGTCATTCTATTTTCTATACCAACACCTACATAGCAGATGACTTGACAGCACACTACAACAACAGCACCTACATTAACTTCAAGCTAACCCAGCCACTGAACAGCTAGCTCTAAGGTGCAGCAAGAAAGGAGAATTGTCCTTAAAGACAAGATTTTGCTTGCAGAAGAAACCTTTGTAGAGATGCATTGTTTACTTGGTGTGACCTGGAATCCAGAGGTCTATACTACTGAAGTGTGCTAATCTACAAAAAAGGGTCCTACCCAGAAACCTTACCAACTGTAACTGAGTGAAAGTCTGAAAAACAAATACTTACCTGTTTTCCCTGCACTAAAACATTAGTAATGGATGGGGCCAGGCTGTCCACTACTTTACTTAAAAGACTTGCTGCAAGGCGCACAACCGACCTGGGGGCAAAGAAGAAAGTAGGCCAGAGGTTCACAAATCTCCAAGATGCTGAGTAGAGTTCCTGACTGGTGAGTCTCTTAATTATTTGGAGGAAATATTGAGCCCAATCTTAGAAATTGCTGTAATTTCCCGGGCTGTTGCCCAATAAGATTAGTAAGAAAATCCTCACCCTCAAACCCTGTCACCAGGCTATGCAAAAAAAAAAAACAAAAACAAAAACAAAAAAAACAACCAACAAAAAAAAAACCACAACAAAAACAAACCATCATTCATGCCACTATTAATTTTATAAAAAGGAAAAAGAAGCCTAATTATTCCTTTGGGAGGTCAGGAGGTAGATTTAAAAGAATATACTCATTTTGCACTAAAAAAATTCATCATTAATTCTGTCACTGGTACATGTCACCTATTGCTACAGCCACTTTAAGTGATATATATAAATATATACACACACTTGGGGGTCTAGACAATCAAATCCTTGGAATAGTGGACTCACTTAGTAAGGAATGATATAGGCAATGCTACAGCGAAATACCAGCTTTTTTTTTTTTTAATTCTCTTGGTAAAGACAGAATGTTGAGGGAAGAAATTCACACTATTATTTTTACATTTCTGAAAAAAGTCTTTAGAATGTCAGACAGAACATATTTTTTTAAGCTTTGCACATGCAATACATTTTTTTTAAAACCTCTTTCCTCAAAAGTAGAAACTTATGTGAAAAAGAGCTAAGGATGCAGTTTAAAACTGGAGGTGATTTTCTTACATTTCAGGAAATCTACAGGAGCTGACCTGCAGATTCCTTAATCTGGGCATAGTATGAGCTGGCAGATATAAATGAGTCAATTCTGATAAAGTCAGCGAAACAAACATTTCCTCTCTTCTAGAGAAGCTTTCACTCACACACTGAAAAAAATCAAAAGACGTGTTTAACCCCAGAATGCAAATAAGGCCACACTCTTCAAGCAGCTTGAGTTTCCAAATTCTGTGCATGTTACCTGTTTCCCATGTACCAGTAAAGTGGTAATGTGTGGGGCTATAGAGGAAGAAAATTTCTGAGTAAAGGCAGCCCCGTAGCGTACAGCCAGCCTGGGTGTGTCAGTAGAAATTCATAAAAGGGAAAATACAGTAAATAAAACTTTCAGGAGGTTTTTCTTTTAAATATAACAGTCACAATTCTAAAGCTTTGCTAGTAAATGAGTTTTCAAAAATGCAAGCATAATTCATCAAGCAAAAACTTTTTATTTACTTAGCCAAAAAATACATCTAAAGACGGTTTTTGAATTTTATTATATTAGCTTGCAGGTCTTACTTTAATGATTTTTTTTTAGAAGGGGAAAGTGAGAGAGGATCATTATTTATCACTCAATCAATCATTTATTTATAAAAAAATAGTTTATAAAAAATCAGAGTTGAAATACTACAAAGAGACTTGTTCTTCTAAAATCCCTAATTTTAAACATTCAAAACTGTGAAAAGACTTTCTTGTGACATTGCTTGCGACTTTTGTTAAAAAAAGATAATACGTAATTCAAATAAATGACATTTTTATTTAAAAAATCTGCTAGACTGTTAATAAATCTGTTAGAATCAATTCACAAGCACAGTATCAAGCATTTTGGTTGGCTTATCCCACTGCAATTTTAAATTTAAATAACTTTATCTCAATCTATCTATTTTTTAAGAAAATTCCTAGGAAGAGCTTACTTCTGCAGAATAAATTAGTTTTCATAAAGCAACTACAATCACTGGAATTCATGTAAAGATATAAGAGAACTTGTATCTAAGCAAATTATTTTTACATACCAGTAAATGAACTGCTGGTATCTTTTCCACAAGTTCGACAATTTTTTTGCATAAAAATTAGAATCTAAAGCATATTGGTGGGACAGAAGAATTGCAAGGTAGGAAACATGAATGAGCATATTATCCAGGAACAGTCCTCAGGACTGTTTCTTTGTGATCTTTACAACCACATTTCTTAAAAACATCTTGGGAGAGCCAAGAATTGGAGGAGTTAATGACAAAGCCTTAGAAAGATAAAGCAGCCGTAGTGCTGTAAGTTGGCGTTCAGAAGTAAAAAATAATCATCTTTCAGACCAGCCCCATCATCTTTAGGCTACTGAATATCAGAGGGCAAAATTAAAACATAATGACAAGGACACAAATACAAACCAAAGTTTTTTGCTGCCAGCTCTTCTATAGACTCTCTCAATGTGATCAGAAACAGTACCTAGACATTAAATAACAGAATTTCCGTTGAAGAAAGCTGTCAATGAAATACATTCTTTTATTCTCCTACTACTTTTAAATTTCATTTTGCTCTCCTAAACTTAATGTTTCTACCCATTACAGTTCTGAACTACTTGATATATTTATGGATGTAATGCAAATACGTTAAAGTATGAAAGTCCCCAACACTCACTGATAGTTACTCAGTTTGATTTTGGTCAATATTTCCTTTCTTAATGCTTCAGTTATTAATATGCAAATCTAAGTTTTTTTAAAAAATAGATATTTTGATTCACTACAGAAACAATAAAAAAATTTTAAAGTAAGTCAATGCTACTGACTCTAAATACATAAAATCATATATTTGCTCAACATATATAGATTCTGGTATGAGCTATAAACAGGATTATGAACATTTTAACAAATATTAAAGCTCAAAAGACATCACTGGACTTTATTCTTTGGCTATAATTTACATGCAGTTGGTTTTGTCAGGAAATAATCATGTGACACTTAAAAATGAACCAAGAGTAAGAAAAAAGATCTATAATGTTTTACTCTGAACTTATTTCTTTAGCCTTAAAGTAAATTGGAAAAAAGATTATTAAAATTCAAGACACTTAGGATATTTGGTGCAGTATTTTTGAGAAAGTAAAAAAAAAAAAATTCAGGGAGCTCTGGTGGCCTAGTGGCAAAAAGCTGCACTGCAATCCCAGAGATAGCAGTTCGAATCCACCAGATGCTCTGCTGGAGAAGGAGAGGCAATCTTCTCCTGTATCATTCAGATATGACTTGATGGTACACGCAAAAAATAATAATAACATTTTTTAAAAATTTAAAAAAATCCAAGCAATTAACAAAACAAAAAAAAATTTCCTCAATATTATGGGTTCACATATGACTTATTTTAAAGTATTCTTTTGTTTTAGCTAAAGCTCAAATTTCAACAAAAATCTCCACTATCACTGGTACTCTGCTTATAAATAGTTTCAAGTCTAATTAGAAACATGGAGAATTCTACCTTTAACTAGCTAAGATTTTATGATTATTCAATTCACTGTGTAATATCTGGGAATGCTCTCTGTTTGCTCCAACGATGCAAAGAGTAAGTAGTTCTTCTTTGCATAAGCAAACATATTTTTTTACAAGCAGAGATAGAAATCTTGTTAATAATACTGCTATTTCTAATTCCAGCCAAATGAACATGTTACTGTGGATAAAGCACTTTTTGATAGGCCAAAAACTTTTAGAAGGTACACGTTAAAATCTATACTTCTTTGAATTATAAAATGCCAGAAGCAGACCGTAATTTAAGAGTCAATGAGGAGCTCTGGTGGTCTACTGGCAAGAAGCTGCACTGCAATCCCAGAGGTACATGGTTCGAATCCACCAGAAGCTTTGCCGGAGAAGGAGGCGCAATCTCCTCTCCTACCAGTCAGATCTGATTTGATGGTACACACACACAAAATAATAAAAATAAATTTTAAAAAAAGTCATAGATTCTTTAATAATGATTCAACATGTAAGAGTTGATTCCATGGGTAATTTGGTTTCATACTGTATGCAGACAAGACAGGGGAGTGATAGAAATTCTTAATTTTATTAACCACTTTTACAGAAAAATTCTACAAAAAATATTCTAAATGATTGCTGTAGATCACAAGGAGCTCATTTTTATAGATAATCCATATCTTTCTTGAAAAACTATGGGAAATATAGCTGGGTAAAACTGTCAATAACTAGCCATGGTGCCATTAGAGGTGAACCGTCACAGGTACAACCTAGGCTGACTATCTTTCCGACATCAGAGGAACAATCAAGCATCACCACATGAAAGTAATTTAAGTGTTCATGCTCTAAAGAGTATTTCATTCTAGAGCATATGAATGAACATGGGGGGTTTGTTTAATGGAAAAGGAAATATCCATAACATCTTAGCAGATACTTACTATGAACATTGGATGTATGTTCAAAAATAGAGAGATCTTGTTATTTAAAATGTCTCTAACACATGTGCTCTTACCTTCCTGTGTGATGAAGTTGGGACCTTCTCTTTTGATCAGTATACCCAGCAGGATAGCTTGGCTCGCCAGACAACTACTGTCCTGAAAATGTAAATTAGAAAGAAATAAGTACCACAGTGGCAACTAATCAAAACCTACAGAATGCAGAGAGGTAATATTCTGAAGTAAAATGGACTAACAATAAAACGTCAATATGCTATGCTATCATATAAGCCCCTAATTAGATAATCTTGCAGACAGAAGGCAATCAAGCAACAGACAGATTCAGCCATACTGAGCAATGTAATTAATAACTCCCTTCTCTACGTATTTGCAAATGGAAAGATCCTGCTGCTATCAAGTTGCTGTGAAGTATGGATCAAACCCCAAACCAAGCCCACTGCTGCTGAGTCAATTCCAACTTGTATCCTGTAGGACAGTGTAACTGCTCCATAATGTTTCTGAAGCGGTAATTTTTATGAGAGAAGA